ACTCTTGAGTGTAACATTCTCACTTCACTTCCTTTGGGAGGTAAGAAGTCCTCACTGCGACGCGACTCCGGGCAGGAAGGCCTGCACAGGCGCAGGGTCCAACTTAGAGAGCCTGCTATGTCCAACCCATCCTAACCTAACCTAACGGAGTCGCGACAGATCTTACGCTACTCGCGACGGATCTTACTCTATTCGGGACAGATCTTACTCTATTCGCGACAGATCTTACGCTACTCGCGACGGATCTTACTCTATTCGGGACAGATCTTACTCTATTCGGGACAGATCTTACTCTATTCGGGACAGATCTTCCTCTATTCGCGACAGATCTTACGCTAATTGCGGCAGATACCGTCTAAAGCAACAAAAAAAAAAAAAAATAATCAGGAGGATTAGATCCCACGCCTGCAGCATGTGGGCCAGGCGCGCTACACCTCGGCGCAGGGTCCAACTTAGAGAGCCTGCTATGTCCAACCCATCCTAACCTAACCTAACGGAGTCGCGACAGATCTTACGCTACTCGCGACGGATCTTACTCTATTCGGGACAGATCTTACTCTATTCGCGACAGATCTTACGCTACTCGCGACGGATCTTACTCTATTCGGGACAGATCTTACTCTATTCGGGACAGATCTTACTCTATTCGGGACAGATCTTCCTCTATTCGCGACAGATCTTACGCTAATTGCGGCAGATACCGTCTAAAGCAACAAAAAAAAAATAATCAGGAGGATTAGATCCCACGCCTGCAGCATGTGGGCCAGGCGCGCTACACCTCGTCCACCGTGTCATCTGACGAGAAGGGTCTCCAGTTGCAAACACTATCCGCCGCAGCGCTGCGTACCCCCACCCTTGATCCATGGAACCCTGCGCCTGTGCAGTCCTTCCTGCCCCGAGTCACGCCGGTCCTCACTGTCACTGGAATATTGGTAGTTTTGGTGACCAGTGTCTGTTATGTTAAATTAACAGATTGTTTTATTAGCTTCTCATTTTTTTTCACTCAACCTTTATTTCAGGTGCTGTAATAGCTTCAGCACCAGTAGAAACTCCAAATCCAGGCAGTGGCGATGATGAAATATTAGTTTCCATACCAATCATTAGTGGATTAGAAGGTTGTGCTGAATCTGACAGAAGTTCTACAGGTAATTTCTTGCAATTTATTTTATGCTAATAGTTATGGAGGTAGCCTCACTTGTTTTATCAACCCACTTGTCCTTTTCTTTGAAAGTAAGAACTATTCCCATTGAATGTATTGTCTTAAATAATTTTATTCATCGTTCAGAGTTGTAAAGGATCAACCCTCTGTGCATGCCCTGTTGCTTTTACAAAGTGGTAATACATGCTCAAGGAGTTGATAATTAAACCTGAAGAAAATCATTGTGAACAATAATTTATATTGCAATAATTTTATTAACTATTACAAGAAGTAGACAGGTGAATTGTAGGGAAAATTATGCCACATCTCTCTGCAGACTGCTGATGTATTTGTTTGTACGTGTTGTAATTTGATTTGGAGTTTAGTTCTATTGTCTGAATTTAGCTGATGATACACGATAAGGGAGCGGGGGCAAAAGAACACGACACGAACACTCTGGAGTCTGGACAGGAAGTGAGCATTTATTTAACATGGCTGCTGCTGGAGCTGGAAATGCAACAGTGACAAGTGCAAGCAATTACACACAGGCAGTGACTATGATAATTAGTGCATGACTTATTATGTGCAGTATGAGAAGATGGTACAGCGGCAAATACAAATATACATTTATACAGATAGGCAGATTCAGTGGGACAAATACTGTGACTAAATTACTTTTGGCAATGGTACTTACAGATAGTAAATTACTACTTAGCCCTGGAACATACTTTACTTTAATCTCTGAAAGGCCATTATATTTTTCAGCATCTAGATGGATGGTACCTGCACCTTCAGTGTGAAGAACTTCTCCACCTGCACACTCGATGGATTCTCTCGGATGTGGACTATAGTTGAGCATGTATGTTTTGTCACCCAACAAGTTATCAAAGGAACCACTATCCAAATACAGAGAAACAGTTTTATTATTATCATTAGCATTTTCAACTCTCAACACTTTAGCATTTGTAGTCAATTTCTGGTCAGTAGCTCTTTTGGCCAAATTAACTTTCCACACTGGTGGCCCACTTGCTCCCTGGGCCTTTTGCTTACCTAACCCCAACTTATTGTTAGGGTTATCAGGATTGTAGTTTCACTCGCTCACGGGATGATTTGTTTTCTTACAGAACCGACACGCTGGGTAGGTGCCTTTGGGGGCAGGTTCATCGTCTGTCGTCTGCTGCTGGGCTCTTGTTGTTGTGGCGGACGCCACGGTCTGCTGGATAGGCGGTGCTATAGCGCTCTATCCCACTACACCCGCACCAGCCCCCCCAACCCGCACGAGGTGGTGGGCTCGCTTTGGAGGGCGCGGGCGGTGGAGGGCAGGGCGGGGGGAAGGGTCTGACTGCCGCCGCTACCTGCTAGCTGGAGCGTGCTACTGCTGCACGCTCACCATGCTCAGCGGCAGCAGGCTTGCGAGGGTGTGAGGTGGGGCAGGGTGACGTGATGGTGGGGACGCGTTGGATTGGCTCGCCTATCCTCGTCCCTGGCCGCCATGTTGGAAACCACGGCCTCCGCGATGTCCGCCCCGACCTCTGTGTAGCCGCGACCGCCGCGCCCTCTGCCGGCGCCGCCACGGTGATCGTATGGGTGGTGGCGGTATTGCTGCTGCGGTGTTGTTGCTGCTGATGAGGCGCGCGCGAAAACTTTGAGCGCCTGGTTTGAGATGGCGTCCTCCGTTTTCAGGCGGGTTCCCTCCCTGAGAAGTTCCGCAAGGACTTCTCGAAGGGAAGGAATTCTTCTCCGTGTTCGTCGGCCTCCTGGCATGTCCTTTCTAGTAGTTGGCAAAATGGGACATGCTCAGGTTTTACTCCTTGGAACAGGAGTACACATAAGAGATCTTGGTCGTCGATTGGCCGACCTGTCTCCATTATCCGTTGCACTGCGGCCTGGAATTCCATAGCGTATTCCTTGAGCCCTTGAGTCTGGCGCAGAGAGGTGAGGGCCTTGAGCAGCCCGGCCCTCCTGCGAGCGCCCTTGTCCTCGAACACGGCGCAGAGCTTCTTCCACATTGTGAAAGCATTTGTGGCTCCAGCCACATGGGTGAGGAGGTGCTCCTCGACTCCGAACAGGATCTGCCGGCACACCCACTGGTCCTTTCGTTGTTCCTCCGGCGTCCGCTCGCCGTCCTCCCTTGGCGCGTTGTTGATGAAGCCGACGTACTCGAAAAGATGCGCGGTCATCAGCATCTTCCACGTAGCCCAATTTTCTTCACCACGGAGCTTCTTGAACGGTGGAGCTCCGTTGCTGCTGAGAACGGTGGTCTCGATCATCTCCTCTTGGCTGCCGCTGCTCCCGTCGTCCTCGGTCTGTCCTCGGGTATTCCTCTTTGGCGGCATCCTCCACGAGGTTTCCTAACCTCAAACCGCACAGCTCACTTATAATTGATTTTCACTGAATTCTTTCACTTCACTAATATCACGCAGTGGTCAGCGGGGCCTGGGCCCATAACCTGTTGTAATTTGATTTGGAGTTTAGTTCTATTGTCTGAATTTAGCTGATGATACACGATAAGGGAGCGGGGGCAAAAGAACACGACACGACTCTGGAGTCTGGACAGGAAGTGAGCATTTATTTAACATGGCTGCTGCTGGAGCTGGAAATGCAACAGTGACAAGTGCAAGCAATTACACACAGGCAGTGACTATGATAATTAGTGCATGACTTATTATGTGCAGTATGAGAAGATGGTACAGCGGCAAATACAAATATACATTTATTGGCTGAGCGATAGCGAAGCCTGTTACTCCAGTGCGGTTGAAAAGTTTTGTCTGTCTGTCTGTCTGTCCGTCTGTCTGTCTGTCTGTGTGTGTGTGTACACTACTCCTCCTGAACGGCTCGGCCGATCTGGCTGAGATTTTGCAGGCTTATTAGGTATGTTCTTGGCTCGGCACACGCGAAATTTCACCATCCTAGCTCAACTGGTTCAGTTTTTATAGCCGAAAAACACATAAAAAACGGCGAAAAATCGAGTTTTCTGCAGGTAGATCACCTCTGTCTTGAAGAAAGGGGGGTCTGGGGGGCGGAGCCCCCCAGCCTCGACAAGTAAAAAAGTGACAAGGGTCAAGATCGTGTTATCTGTAGATGAAGCAACTCTATCTAGAATTAAGGAGGGTCTGGGGGCGGAGCCCCCCAGCATGCAACACGTAAGAAGTAACCGACGATGGACAAGCCAATGCCTGCCGAAGGCAGGCTAGCGCCGCAGGCCAAGGTAGGTACGCCAGGCGCGGATTGGAGGAACAGGCCGCGAGACATCGCGAAGCCTGTTACGACAAGACGCGGTCTGGCGTAAACCTACCTTGTACAGATAGGCAGATTCAGTGAGGAATTTAAATGTAGAGGGTTAATCTTATATTTACAACAGTACGTTATAGGAAAAACTGCTGCAAGTGATCATAATCCATCCAGTAATTTTGCTACACACCAGGATCCTACTAATGAGCATACTCCATCCCTCCCTGATGTATTGACTTCTCCTGGGGCAGGTAAAGCTCAGAATTATTCAAGGTACTCCTACAATGGACTCATAAAACTCATCGCTCCTCTTGTAAGTGTTCCATTGGCGAGACCTGGTTGGCCAAACGGTTGCTCTCTGTGTTCAAAATGTGATGCAGTCTTGTAGAGAACAATGTAGCACATGCCCTTATAGTAGTTTTAGTCTGCTCATTACTATACTCATAATTATGTAGCAAAAATAAAATTGCCTCATTCAAATAATTGATTCTAAAAATTTCACTTTTGCTATATAATCATGAGTGTGGCAATAAAAAGACTAAAACTGCTATTAGGGCATGTGCTTTATGGTTCTCTACGAGACTGCATCACATTTTATACACAGAGAGCAACCGTTTGGCCAACCAGGTCTCGCCAATGGAACACTTACAAGAGAAGTGAAAAGCTGGTGAGCGATGAGTTCCTTGAGTTCATTGTAGGAGCACCCTCATACTCAAATCAATAATTTTGATTTTTTTATTTAAAAGAATACATTTTGCTCAGCAAGATTATTTGACAGTGGAAATGTTATTTTTATTTCTGTACAGGTGCTACACAAACTTTTATCACTGTCACGCCAGAACAGTCCAATGTTTCATCAGGCCAAATGAAACGGACAAGACTTAGTAAAGCCTCATCCAATGATACTACTTCACCTAGGGAACCCACTAACGAGCATACCCCATCCCTCCCTGATACTATATTGGCTACTCCAGTGACAGGTAAAGCTCAGAATTATTTATACTCAACTCAATAATTTTGATTTTTTTATTTTTATTTATTTTGCCCAGCCAGATTATTTGACGGTATTTTTATTTCTCTACAGGTGCTGCACAAACTCCAGCTGTTACCCCAGAACTGTCCCATGCTTCATCAAGCCAAAGGAAACGGACAAGAGTTAGTGGAGCCTCATCCGAAAGTCCAAAGAGAAAGAGATCAAGAAACTCATTTCGTTGGAAGGCGACTGTTCGAAAACAGCTCAAGAATTTGGGTCAGCCTTACACATCAGCCAAAGGCAAAGCTATGGAAGGAGCTCTTATGAGGAACCCATGTTCTTGTAAATCTAACTGCAGGCACAAATTAACGGAGGATCAAAGGAAAGCAATATTTACACAGTTTTGGGGAATTGGAAACCATGAGAGACAGTGGGAGTACATCCGGCAAAACTCCAACTCTAAGTGCACTGATAGTAAGAGAAGAAATTTTACCGGCAAGAAAAAAACCAACAGAACATTTTTCTTCTTGGTAGATGTTCTGAAAGAAGTTGAGAAGGATGTTGAAATAGGGGATGATATAGTCACAGAGACAATACAAGAAATAGTGACTGAGAAAATAATTATTTGCAAAAAAATGTTTATGGCAACACTTGGAATTTGGGACTCATGGATCGACAGTGCTTATAAACATTTGAATGCTAAGAAGGGCAATATCACAACGCCTGACAAGAGGGGTCGCCATCCAAACCACCCTAAAGCAGTTACTCCTGAGAAAATTGAAACAGTGAAGGAGCACTGTAATTTGTTTCCTCGAGTCCCTTCTCATTATTGCAGGGAAAAGTCTAAAAGGGAGTATCTAGAACATGGTCTCAGCCTTAGCAAAATGGCCAAACTATACACTAAATGGGCAGAAGAGAAAGGCCTCCCTAAAAACAAAGTTGCCACTGCAAGGCAGTATAAAGATGTAGTAAATACTAGTTTCAACATTGGCTTCTTCAAGCCGAAGAAAGACCAATGTGCCCTCTGTGCCTTGATAAGAAGCAAACACAATCCCAGACATATCAAAGACAAGTACAAAGATCTATATGCTGCTCATATTAAACGCAAACAATTGGTCAAAAAAATTAAACTTAGAGACCGAGCTGCTGCAGAAAAGGACAAAGAAATTGCAGTTATTTCATTTGATCTACAGAAGCAGCTACCTTGCCCTAGATCTGAGGTTGGGCCTTTTTCTACAGAAATAAACTCTCTGTTTTTAATTTTACTCTTTTCAGGAAGTTGAACGAAATGGCCACTGTTATGTTTGGCACGAAGGGTTGGCCAAGAAAGGCAGCAGTGAGATATCAAGCGCAGTCGGTCATTTTATTGACAAACTTGTTGAAAAGGGGCATAAAAAGCTGATTTTATACTCCGACAATTGTTCTGGGCAGAACAAAAATAGATTCGTCTTTGCTATTTGCAACATAAAGCTGTGTTGCATGGCATTGAGATAACCACACGATTTCTAGAACCAGGACACACGCATATGGATGCGGACACAATTCATGCAAGAATAGAAAACTCAACAAATTTGAAGGAAATAATGGATTTTGAAGACTGGATTGTAGCTATCTCTGAAGCCAAAGAGACTTTGCCTCCATACAATGTAATCAAACTGAAGCAATCTATGATTTTTGACTACAAGCATTTAGTTTCCTTGCAGAACTGGAAAAAAGATATGAAAGGTAAAGAAATCAAGTGGAGTAAAGCGAGAGAAGTCAGCATTGACGGAAGGGAAGGCAACCTGGTCAGACTCCGCTATGATTTGGATGGAGAAATCTTCACACTAAGCCCTAATCAAGTTGGAAGGCCAGTCAATCTAAAAACTTTCAAGCCTCCAAAACAATATAATGGGCCAGTCCCTCTCACCGCCAGCAAAAGAGCTGATATTGAAGCGCTCTGTAAGGAACTGGCAATTCCCCTCGACAAGCAGCAGTTCTTCCGTGATGTATTAGCTGGAACTGTGGATGATCATGCACTGTTAAAAAAATTCTGAAAATTCAGACCAATTTTGTCAGACTTAGCGGTCTGAATCTGTAAATCAGACTTAATTCTGAAAAATCAGAGTTTTTGTCTTAGTTCTTAAACGCTTTGTCTGAAAGCTTGGTTCAGACTCGAAGTGTCTTAATATTTGTACTCATTCTCAAAATTCATATGAACTTGCGTCAGACTTCCCAGACCTCAAGAGTCTGAATTTCGGATTCAGACTACTTTCTGAAATATGTTTAAACATAAGAGAAAATTGGACAACTTTCTTCCAACCTAACATTGGGTTAACTCACAATCAGTCTTACATTCATTTAATCCGACTCCGTTTCGGGGACTTCAGACAAAACGAAAGCATTTTTCTCTCCGCTAGGTGGCGCTAGTGTCGGTAAAGAGCCTGCTGTTGTTAAAAACGCCTTTTTCTGTTAAATTTTTAATATTTCCAACCCGAAATAGCTATTACTCTATTGGCTATGACGAAACACACGCTCTCATACCAAATTTATATCTGTAGCATACGCGCGAGTTTAACAATTGACATTTGAAGTCACCTCTCGCGGTTGGCTCCGTGCCGTCGTTTCCTAGGGTGCGTCAGGCCAGCTCCAGATGAGTGCAGGGAAGAGTCCCACATCGGGGACATTTCCCTACACTCCACTTTTTACCTAGACGGTTCCTTGGAGAACGTCGCTCCTTTGAGGTTCGGATGCCAACATTATCATTTCACCGAGTTACGGGAAAATTTCCTGCTGCCACTTTCAGACAAAAAAATCTAGTAATTGAGACAATTTTGTCTGAATTTTTCAGACAACGACCTGCCTGAAAGGTTAAGACTTGTGTAAGTCTGAAAATTTTCAGACCAGGATTTAGTCTGAATTTTCAGTAGGATGTTCTGCATATTTACTTCAGTCAAAAAAGTCTGAATTTTCAGCAAAAATTTTTAACAGTGTGGTGACGACTTGGATGAAGTAGAATATGAAACCGATGAAGAGATAATTGCCTCCATTCAGCCAAATTACAATCAAGATGAGAATAGAGATGATGACGATGATGATGGAGATAAAGCGGAAGAAGAAGATGACCCGGAAGATGAAGATGGTAATGAAGATGAAGATGATAATGAAGATGATAATGAAGATGATGAAGATGAAGAGCAGTAGCCATCGGGTTATATCTTGATGGATGATGTACCATAATGTTCCTGATTTTCTTGTTTCCAAAGAATTTTACTCTTTCTCTAGTTAATATAAGATTCTTTCTGTATTGTTTAATTAGTTAAAGCATTTGGAGTTGACATCATGTTTGTCAGCTGGCTAGTCTTTTTTTTTATCATTTGACCTGTGATTTTGTATGTTAATGTTTTAAGAAAAAAACATTTTAATTAAGTTACTTACGATCCAAGCTTCTACTTTTAGTTTGTGTTCTTGTTTGTTGTTTGAAACAAAATTTCTTCTAATGTTTCAAGAAAGTTGTTTCCACACCGTAAGTTTAACTAATTGTAATTCTCATGACTGATAAGCTCAAAGGCTGATTTTATTATTTTTATTTAAATGAACAAAGAAGATTGATGGTGACCAAATAAAATCTTTATTTAAAACATACCAAATCCTTAACAAATTATATGAAACCATTTAGACACAAAACCATGATACATCAAAATAACAACTATCGATGCACACTGAACAATACACTCACTGACTTGAATGAAAATTTTAAAACAAATGTAATGCTTGTGATGCACTCAAAGGGGAAGAGGGAATTGCTTCTGTAATAAAGAAACACAATAATTAATGCAGACCTTGCAGACAGGATAATTAGCAGTAGGAAACCAGTAATACAATACCTTGCAAAACACAGAAGTCCACTTAAAGACCCAATGGTCACCTTGTTGCACAGGAACAGAACATCGATACCTGGAAAATAAAGTAAATCTACATCTACGGTATGGAACGGAATTTACCACAACAATCATTTAAGTGTAGATTTGAACAAGTGGAGTGTACTAAACAAGACCTATTCAAATGAAAGCTAAAAATAAAAGCCCACATAAAAGTCAGTTACTTGATAAAAGAGAAAAGAACAGATGTTGCAAATGTTCCACAAAGAACTACACAACGTAAACAAGAACAGAAGTATGGACATGGCAAAGTAAAGATATACCGACAGGAAAGCCACAAAATAATTTTAAAAAATCAGTCAAAATTCCAAACTTAAAAACATACCTTAGATAATGTCAATCCATTTGCAAGTAAAATTGGAAAAAAACTCTCCAAACTGGAGCAGGTTATGAACTACGACCAGAGTCACAAGTACCTCCCCACATCTAAATAACATCCTGGAATTAAAGACAATGATGGGAAGTTTGATTTACAAACAAAAGTCAGGACTAAATCGTTTGGAAATGTTGTAATAAAAACTGTTTCCTATTGCATGTGACATACTCACTTTTCTTTTTACGTCCTGCCTTCATTTCATGAACAACAGTGCCTTGTGAACGACTCGACTAGTTAATAAAACACCAGGGAACACGATGACATCAAGGCCAAAACCAACAGATCAGCCATTTAATTGATTTGAACGCCCAAATATTCAACATTGTCTCGTGAAAAGCACGGGTTTTTCACTTAAGCGACTTTCTGCGACGCCCTGTGCAGATGCGCTGTTCTGAGTAGGGCGGACTACAGATACGCGGTTGTGAGTCAGGGTGGCGGCAGATGAGCGGATGTGAGCCGCGGGCGGGTCAGATGCGCTAGTTTAAGCAGCACCGGGACAAGATAAGCGACTTTAGATAGGGAGTGTCGAGTAGCTCTCTTTTCTTTACAGCCGGAGTCTCAACTGTTTCCAACTCCCCATCCGGATCACTTCATCAAAAATTTAAAACTCTTTTGGCCGTAGCTTTCTTCATTTTTTCTACCTCTGCCAGAAGCTTTTTTGCCGCTCTCTTCTTTTTATTTTCTTCAGTCTTTCTCATTTGCTCGTCTCTAGCTTTCTGTCTCTCCTCTATTTCAATTTTTTCAGGAGTGTCTGTAGGGAGAAAGCACTTTCCTTTTCTTCTAGGTTTGCGTTTAGGAGCAGTGATGTCAGATTCATTGAACTTGGGCAAACCTCTGAACTCTTTTGGAGAGATGAAAGAGGGGCTGGCACTTGCGACTGTTTCTTGAATCTGCCTTTCACTGCCAGTAGATGGGTTTGCCGTTGGATTTGTTGGAGGAGCAGAAGTAAGTGCTTCAACATCACGACTGGGGCCAGGCTTTTCAGGTCCATTTGAATTGTATTTGCGTGCCTTTTCCTTTGGCAAACGCTTTCTTTTCCTTGAAGGTGCTGTTTCAGGGACACTAATTTCTAAATCAATAACATTTACAAGGTAGGTGTACGCCAGACCGTGTCTGGTCGAAACAGGCTTCGCGATGCTGCGCCAGTTTCGACCATCCACGCCTGGTGTATTCACCTACCTTGGCCTGCGGCGCTAACCTGCCTCCGGCAGGCTGCTTCCCTAGGCAGGCCGTAGAGATGGTCGTGATCCCCTCAAAAAATGGTATTTGGTCATCAAAATCTACACCAATGGGATTTAACTTTCGGTCGGTGGCCCGAACGGGTTCTATTTTCGTCATCAGCAGCCTCAAAAACATATGAAACGATATGAAACTTGTCAAAAAGTTGAAAGTACCAAAAAAGTTGTCTTTTTTCTGTCGTTTTTGAAGTGTTTTTTGGCTTATATGACCGAATGGATTGAGATAGAAAGCTGCATTTTGGTGTGTGGCGAGCCAAGGACATACCTACCTAATGACCCTGCAAAATATCAGCCAGATCGGCCGAGCCGTTCAGGAGGAGTAGTGCACACACACACACACGCACGCAGACAGACTGACAGACAAACAGACAGACAAAACTTTTCAACCCCACTGGAGTAACGGGCTTCGCTTCCGCCCAGTCAACAATTTCATCGGGTGAGCTTGTTGAAGGTTCATCAACGGGTACAATTTTCACAACTTCAATTATACTGTTGGGGTCTGGCTTTTCTGTTACAGAGGACATAGAAAAGTCTGCATCAGAAAATAAATTACGGTTAAAGGGAAATATTCCTGCCTTTGTAAATCCAGATACAATGTTCTCAACTGTCCCCGCCTTACTCAAAGCTGTCCTCACAAAACCCGCTACATGGTAAATTGTGACTGCTTGTCCTGGGTGTTGAAGCAACCATGAGTTCAATGCACTATCATAATGGGTGTTAAATGGCCCAAACAGAGACAAATCAAGGGGCTGGAGCTTATGGGTGCAGTGCGGGGGGAAAGTTAACAAAGTGAAACCATTATCTTTAGCAACATTTAAAGCCTCTACGCTGAGATGAGTTTCTACGTTATCCACTAACAAAAGGAACGGATTTTCTTTTGATGCTGCTGTATGCTTAATTAGATGGCGGATAACAGATACAAAAGTGTCTTTAGTCATGTACCCATTTTCATTGGCTAAACCAAGAGTGCCAGGAAAAGCGTTCAAAAACATATTACTCACAAATTTTTTCCTCGAGAAAATCATGACAGGAGGGACTATTGTTCCAAAGGCAGTAACTATGCAGCATGTAGTGACAGATACGCCACGTTCAGATGATTTCATCTTGTGTACTTGCTTTACTCCTTTAGGGCTGACTATCTTCCGCATATTTTGGACAGTGCTTGTTGAGGTTTCATCTAGATTACCAACTCTAGAACAATCCGCAAAGGAGGGATGACGTCTCAGACACTCTTCAAGCTTATCATAAAATGTATTAACACTGTGCTTGTTAAATGCTGCAGCCCGAGCAATACTGCATGCCTCTGGGGTTCTGATTGATAGCTCCGGATGTCTCTCCATGAAGCCTGAAAAACACGAAAAATTAGTAACAGGAAATCAGAAAATCAGAAAATATTTACACGGGTAAAAATCTTACCGTGAAACAATTCAAGTCCAGCGATTTTTTTGTTTCCCATGTAATTGGCACTTTGATATGGTTAAGAGCAGCAGTCTAATAGGCCAGTTCTCTCACCATGAATGTAGAAAGACCGTAGCCAATCAATGTCATTTCCTGACAATAGGAAGCTATGGCTTGCTCTTGTTCTTCTGAGAAGATTGCTCTGGATGCTTGTGATAGTTTGGGAATATTTTCAAGGTTTTCATCTTGTTTTGTTTGTTTGTGCATTCTCATCAAACATTTATAGTTCAGACCACACTCCGCAGCAGCAGCTCTTAGACTTTTCCCATTTCTTACTAGTTCAAGTCCTCTTTTAAGCTTGGATGGAGAAGCAACCGCACGGTTAGTTTTTCTTTTATAAGTGCGGGCCATGGCTGAAAAACGAAAACAGTGTCAGTGAAAACATAGCTCAAATTCATTGATGAATAACAACAATTTCTTACAAGAAAACTTTACTCAGAAATCAATACCCGTCTGAACTCTGACTCACGGGGCACTTTGAAACAACAAATCTCTTGTTTCAAACTGCCCCATGCAAGATTGTTTCAAACTGCCCCTTAGTACACTCATCCAAACATTTAGTCATATTCTCTTTATAGGTTATGTTATGATGAAATCTCCAAATGGTAAACATTCGTAAAGGACTACAGTTCGTGATCAAGTCATTAGTTTACGGGTAATTGATTACTGAGAGACCGCAGACGGAAAGATCCTGGGTCCCGAAATTTAAGTTTTACCTGTTTCTGGGGGTGGTTGAATTTCACCGACTCTTTACTCAACCCACACCACTCCGGTCACGGCCTTGTGGATTGCAAACCGAATAAGTCCAAAAAATGAAAGTCGGGTACCATTTAGATTTTGTTTTCACACCCTCCTTATGATAAATATGAGCATCTGTTTCAAACTGCCCCTGTTTCAAACTGCCCCACCCTCCCTTACTCGGTGACCATGTGATTGGACCCCATTTCTTTGAAGGAAGACTGAACGGACCAGGCTACCTGAATTTTTTGGAAAATGATTTGGGTGTCCTCTTTGATGAAGTGCCGTGTGCGCCTGAATCACTGGTACCAACAGGATGGGGCCCCTCCACACTGGGCTTTAGTAGTGCGGAATCACCTGAATTCGGTAATCTTACCAAATGGAACAAAAACAACTTTACGCTTGTTTTTTTTTTCCTTATTCCTTCTTGCATTCACCGCTTTTATTTTTGCCGTAGGTTTATCAGAACCGCTGGATTGGCCGAGGCGGGCCAGTCGCGTGGCCTCCAAGATCGCCCGATCTGACACCCCTTGACTTTGTCCTCTGGGGCCATGTCAAGGGCAGGGTGTACGAGACGAGGCTGGGCACTGTGGAGGAACTGCGGGACCGAATCGAGAACGCGTTCCGGGGCATTACGCCCGGTATGCTGCGTCGGGTTCACCTCAACACCATTGAGAGGGCCAACCAGTGCATCGGCCAAAATGGCCAAACCGTCCAGCATTTGTTTTACAAGTGAGAAGGTTCCAAGCGGCCCGTTACAGTGCTGTCTTTTTCTTTTTAGAAGCTGTTATTTCCTTTTTAATTTTTGTTGACACAGAGATTTAATTTTTGTTATTAAAAGGCACAAACATCCTTTGTTTTTCATTCATTAAATGTTGACCCGCGACATCCCTCGCGACATTCCCTCTTGACCAGCCGTGGACCCAACAGGGGAGGGGGGGCTGCGCGAGCATGCGTGCCACTGGACAGTACGGAGTGGGGGGAGTGGGGGACGTCCTCGCTACTCCCTGCGAGTGTGTCGAATGGGTGGCCTACCTTCCAAAGCCGACGGGGTCGATGGGCCACCCTGTAGTGAAGGGCCAAAGGGTTGGCAAATAAAGGTTGAGAGGGTCAGTGGTACGTCGTTAGACACATAATGTTTTAATTTATATATAAATTTTCTCTTTACATAAATTTAAATATTCAAGACTGTACAGACAATTTGGATTCCAGCTCCTTTTAAAAACTCATAAGATTTTCATTAAATTCTATATATTCTTTTTACATAAATTGAAAGATTCAAAAAGTACAGTCAAATTGGAGTGCAGCTCCTTTTTCAAAAACTACTGACTACTAAGTTATCTGAAATCCTTAAAAACCCAGTTAGATTGAGGAATATTCTGAGTCCAATGCTTGGAGTTGCAGACAGGACACTCTGCTCGTTTCTGGTCAGAAATCTAGCATTGGCTTGAAGAAGTTCGCAGATACTCATGATGTTAGGGTGGGTCCTAAGGTAGAGCCCGTCAAACGGCAGGCCAAACGGGCCAGACGGGAAAAATCTAAATTAACGCGTGGCCCGACCGGCCTGACCAAAGTATGAAAACGTGTGACCCACGCGACCTGTGCACTTATGCGATGGACCAACCAGACCAATCTTCTCAAAAGTATGGTCGGCAAGGTGAGCCGATAAACCTGCAGGTCGGGCTGGTCCACGGCCCGGCGGCTGGTCCGCGCTGACCATACCTTCATATTCTCGACCCATGCGGCCTGCGCGGGCAGAAAACGACCTGACGGGCCCGAGCCACGGCCCCACAGTGGAGCGAAACGCCAAAAATGCGACATCGTGCGACATAGAATCATTTTCCTATCTGTCAGCTTTTTTCACGGCATATGGTCATTTCATGATGTTATCTAGTTAAAGAAATGATTTCCTAGTATTGGCTAGGCTTGTAGAGCTAAAAATCGCGAAAAACATGAAAATTTTGTCCCAAAAATTTGCCATTTTTTACACTTTTTTTGCCCGTAAAACTGACATTTTTCCGATTCTGCAATTTTTCTCAACAGATTCTGAAAGCTAAGGACAAGGCCTACAACTTTTGTTATGGTTGCAACGCTGTAGCGAGGTCGGCCATTCGACTTTTTTGGCCTAAAAGGGTTTTTTTCTTTAATAAATTTCATTGGAAATTTATTCCTATTTTGACAATTTTGGGTATTTTTGTGCCCCTGCAGTCCGCTTTACATCCCAACCAGTTTCAATTCATCCAATCGAGTTTATAAGAACCGAAAATAGATGTTACGAGGCAACACAGACCTCAAGGGCACAAAAAAACCTTAATTTGTCAAAAAAGGAATAAATTTCCAATGAAGTCTATTAAAGGAAAAACCTTTGAGGCTAAAAAAGTCGAATGGCCGACCTCGCTACAGCGTTGCGACCATAACAAAAGTTGTAGGCCTTGTCCTTAGCTTTCAGAATCTATTGAGAAAAGTTGCAGAATCGAAAAAATGTCAGTGTAACGGACAAAAAAAGTGTAAAAAATGGCAGATTTTGGTACAAAATTTCCGTGTTTTTCGCGATTTTTAGCTCTATAAGCCTAGCCAATACTAGAAAATCATTTCTTTTACTAGATAACATCATGAAATGACCATATGCCGTGAAAAAAGCTGACAGATCGGAAAATGATTCTATGTCGCACGATGTCGCATTTTTTGGCGTTTCGCTCCACTGTGGGCCCGGCCGGCCAAGCCGGCCAAGGGCTGGCCCAGCTGGCCAAAGACTGGTCTGCCTGGCCTGGCCGTGCAAAGACTGGCCTGCCTGGCCTGGCCGTCCTAAGACTGGCCTGCCCGCCTGTCATGGAGTCGTGAGATGAATTTGGCCCAAACTGAAATGATGCAAAGGGGGGGGGGGGAATGACGGGCGTGGGCGGGCGCGGGAAGACCTTGCGGGCGGCAAGTCCGAAGCCCGGGGGAGTAAATCACAATTCTTTGCTCAATTGCGCCTACGGTATCTATCCAATCCAACCCATTTCACTCCCCCACTGTACCCCTCAGACCCACCCCGCCCGCCCCCGCCCGCCACTCACCCCGTCACCACCGCCGCCGGCCCCGCCGCGCCCCGTACCCGTCATTAATCGAGCGCGAGCGCCTAGCGGCTCGGCTAGCCCGCACAACACGCGTGGTAACGCGGCTGCCTGCCTGCAGGGCGTTTGCAGAGCAGGTTGTTCTGGATCTGTTAAGGCCGAGTGAAGCCGGCTGGCTGGCTACTTATTGGCCCGAAGGGAGGGTTCAGAAATGTGTGAGGGAGCAAGAGTATTTGGACGGCCGTGGGTACGAGGACGAGCATTTAACAAAAATCAGTTTATTTTTATAAATTTATCTTATATATCTAGATAAACAGATACATAGCAGTACATATTACACGTGTACTTAAAACTTTACAAAACGGCACCATTCTTAACTTTCCTCCATTTTTCTTTTTCTGGCAGCTTTGAAGTACTTGTGAAGGAAAACATGGGCATCAAGAGTCGATGAATTCAAACTTGTTCGGCGAATATTGACAATAAAACCGGCATTGCTGAAAAGACGCTCGACAATAGCACTAGAAGCTGGAATAGCCAATATTCTCTTCGCTACCTGCTGGAGACGAGGGAAAGCAGTTCCCTGAAAAAAAGGTTCACAGTCAATGTATTTGCACAATTTTGTATGTGGCCTCACACAATGTTGTGAATGCGAAATTTTTCGTACGAATTTGAGCTCGAAATCGCTCAAATTAATGTTAAATTTCGTACAAATTTGTACAAAAAGCACGCATGCGCAACTTTGTTTGAGACTACGTACAAATACTGTGCAACGGAATTTCGTGTATTTTAACCAAAATTAAAGCTTATTATTAGGTATTGTTAATTTTGGTTGGTACCTTTGTGCGCCACCACTCGACAAGTGTCTCCACTGTTGGTATGGAGGTAGCTGTCTGAACATAGAGTAGTACTTCATCGTGTCCGGTTGTCGTGTCGTCCATGCCGCCGGATGCCCACTCCTCGTCGTACTCCTCATACCCCTCCTCCAGACGGCTTCGTTTACGAGGATTAGGGGTCTGGGCAACCTCTTCTTGCCCTCCTGCTGAATTCTGAACCTCTACGAGCTCCCTGACAGCGCAGAGTACCTACAAAACGATGTCAAAGTTAATTAGAATTGAGGAAAGAAACTCATACGTTTACTTAGGCCCCAGACCTTTTTTACAATTTATCCTTACCTCGTTTCGTTCTTCCGCAGAGAATATCTTTAACTCCCTGTACTTGGGATGCAGGAATAGGGCCAGTTTGTGCGACATGTTAAGCACGGGAATAGTACTCAGGAGCTCTGCTGTATTCAGACGCAACTGCCTGAATTCTGCAGTCTCCTCTTCGTACACCTCTTCCGTAAAATCCTCACTATAATAATAATAATAATAATAATAATAATAATAATAATAATAATAATAATAATAATAATAATAATAATAATAATAATAATAATACTTTACCTCAGGGTCGCAACTCTGAGAGGCTTCTGGCAGTGCTTCTGCAAGTGGTGTATGGCCAGGCAAGCAAGAGGCAGGGTGGGGTAATCCTCCCCTTCCAATTTCTTTGTCTCCGTTTTGAACGGAGTCCAGAATTTGATCAGCAATTGCAGATGGTCACGGTTAATTCCCTCTAACTTCTTCTCATGGCCGGCTTCCCTCAGTACTCGCTCAATCTAAAAAAAAGAATTCACTTACTTTTTAAAATTTAATAATAGAATATGAATTATGCATAATTTAAAATAAATACACCACGTACCTCAAACCAATTTAAGTCAATTGAAGAGATTAAGTCAATGTGGGTATTCCACCTGACTTCAAACTCTTGTTTGAGTTGGCCGGGAATAGATGTGTCCAAGCCACTTGTCTTTAAGAAAGTTACCAGCTTCTTGCACTTATTGACTAGCATGACAATATTCAAAACCTGTAGCTCTTTGCGCAAATTGTCCTTTAATTTCTTCACTGCCGCAGTGTCATCTTCAGTTTCTGAGCAGTGCTGGATGAGCTCAGGCCACTTGTCTGTAGTGACAGAGGACGACTTCTCCCGCGCACCACTACTGTAATCTAGCGGTGCTAGGAAGGCGATGATGTCATCCAGATCCTCCGGGCCACAGCCAATGCGCTCCATGTCCAGGCTTTCCAAGCACTCCTGCACCTGTTAGCATGAAAAAGACAAGTTGTGAGTCCAGAAAATTTTCAGTGTTGAAACCCTACTAAAGAAGTCTAGAAGAAATCAGCGCCGAAATTACCTTTTCGAAATGCGTCCTAACGCTCAACAGCATCATGGCGTAGGCATTGATGGTTTTGTTCGAAAGCTGAAGCCCTTGCTTGAGGTGGTGGAAGCGCTTGTCCAGCGTCTTCTTCCCCAATCCCTTTATATGCCTGGAAGCTTCATCACATTGCTCAATAATTTCCAGAACTTCTGGGCATGTACTGACCACCTTGCCAATCAAATTATGGTATGAAATTTCCAGCCCATTTCTCAAAACCAAATTTAATGCATGGGCAATGCAGTAATTCCGAGCCCACTCCTCTACTGCCTTCTTCACGTTGCTGCCATTATCGGTGATGAATGTAACATTTTTAATGCAGTCAGAAGTTATGCCCAGCCCCTCAAATTTAGATTTGAGTTTTGCCTTAATTTCTTCGGCAGTTTCCTTTTCTTCAAACTCGACAATGAATAAAAAAACTGTCTCGTTGGACCAACGATCAGGGTTCTGTAGAACTTCCATGTATGACACTGTCACAGCCAAGTAATGCCGGCGGGAGTACCTCTCGGTCCAAAGATCAGTGCAAACACCAGCCCCGCCCTCAAGCA